GGTAAATTTGGTAAATTAATTAGACAAAGAAATTTCCACAACCTTATGTCTAATATTGCACAGTGAGCGCATTGTAATGCTAAAAGTCAAAATAAGGTCGCCTGTTTTCATGGATGCTGCATTTAACTAATTCGCAGTCTTGGAAGTCCGTTAAAAACATTGGATTTCCGAAACTTATACCGTAAAAGCTTTCTTTTGTGACAAGCTTGTTGTCACGAGCGTCCGTTATTAGTCCGTGGGTTATCTTTTATGCGTCTTCTTGGCGTCATGTCTAGATGTTGTTAAACGCAAAACAGAACACAGACGAGATGTGCAGCAAAACGGTTTTGAAATGAATGCAAACTGGTGTCCACTCAATCAGCTGGGCCCGCTGTGTTGCAAAATTGCTAATATCCAACTGGTGTTACTATGCGTCCACGTATCGATGGAGAAACATCGAAGTGTGTAATGCATGCAGCTATATTTGCCTTAAATATGCGTAACAGTAATGCAATATTGGCAACTAAAGTAGAAATCATTCACTACAAGGTATAAAAGACAAGCATACCGTTTCGGAGCCCATTTATTAAAAATTCAAGCCGTCCAATTTTAGTTTCGTCCTGGACTATTTAATTAGTCTGCTATTGTGCCGATATTTTTAGCCTCGGAATTTTAATGTGAAACGCATTATTAATATAATGAAATAAGTAACACTTGGGTTTTTGTGAGTTTCATAGCAGTGCATTCATCATAGCAGACATAATTAAGTGGCTTCTTTAACAGCGAAGATTTTGTAAAATCATAGGAATCTTATGCAGCATTATTGTAGCTATGAATTAGCATTTTATCCAAACATATGTACAGCAAGCCCTCCCACTGAAGCGTGCTTTTGGCCACTCGCGTAGAAGCAAAAGGAGATAAAGATAAATGTCTTTATATGTCCATGGATATTGTTAACTAATGTTCTAAATAATTATCGGCGCTGTTTAGTGCGTTAAATCCTTCTTTTTAACCGTACTTTCGGTCAGCACAAGTGACTTTTAGCGCGCCATGTGTGACGAATAATTCGTCACTGTGTTAGTACGTACTTACTAGTCTGTACTCGATTAGCGCGTAACGTTGACGGAATATGCATCCCTTCAGCGCGAGCAGCGAAAGCGTGTGCCGTCGTGTGAGTGTTGTAACTCCCTAAATGACCAGACTTTTGGCCCTCAGCAGTGCAAATGTACACCTTATGGACGACCTTTTGGTCACCCAGTATATCTTCCAACGCCGCTTGAACTTCAGCAACGAAAATTTCATGGTAAAAATATCGTAAACACGAAGCGGAAAGCCACATATTAATTATAATTACGCAATGCAGTAGCCGCAAACCCAAACCCTAAATTGATTTTGAATTACCAATTCTCGTCCAAACGACCACGAGACTTCGAGCGGTGTGCTATTACAACCCACTTGTGTCCTATTACATCGGCACCAAATGTGCCACTGATGGAGCCTATATACAACGACCACGAGACTTCGAGCCGTATGCTATTACAACCCAACTGGGTCCTATTACGTTGACACCAAATGTGCCACTGATGGAGCCTATATACAACGACCACGAGACTTCGAGCCGTATGCTATTACAACCCAACTGGGTCCTATTACGTTGACACCAAATGTGCCACTGATGGAGCCTATATACAACGACCACGAGACTTCGAGCCGTATGCTATTACAACCCAACTGGGTCCTATTACGTTGACACCAAATGTGCCACTGTTGGAGCCTATATACAACCGACCTGGGTCCTATTACACTGGCAACAAACGTGCCGCTAGTCCAGTTCATTGTTCAAAATGCTGTAATCCCAAATGAGCGGAGAAACCGATATAAAAACTGTGCATTGTATTTAACAAAAGGCAGCGAGAGAAGGTTCAGCGTTGTTCACTATATTCGTGCCTTGGACGCGCATGTCCCATGCAAGGTATCTTTACACAAAGTCGTATTCATCGGCTAAAATATAATAGTAGTGCGAACATATAGTCTACTGTCGGGTAATTGAATGAGAGTTTTTATCTGAACAAGTTTTTCCTTTGCGTTTTCTTTACTGGGCTGGCATCCATGTCGACGCTACAATGAAGTGAAAATGGGAGTTTAAATTGCACCGAATAGCTTACTTTGGCACTCTATTCTGCACAATACCTCTGTTTGAGGGGAACTCCACGGCTCCTTTTCGACAAGCTATCGATGAAAGGTAAGGAAATAGATCACCAGTACCAAGTGCACGTGCAATATGGGGTACGGTTTGTTGACTTGTACTCGGATCGGCGGTAATATCATCCTGACTGTCTGCGCAGGAAATAGTTATACTAAGCTGTCGCTTACCTTCGTAAGCGGGGCAGGTTGATGGGGTAGAGGCAACTGTGAAATCCGGTGAGGGTGAACGGCCAACAGCTAAATATCGAGGTAAAAAGTTGCTTTCTTACCGGTAGTACAGCATTGCACTGCCATCATGGGCACAGATACCGTTTGTGAAGCGTTGACACAAATTGTACAACGGGCTCCTGATTGCACACGCAGACACTTTCGATGGTAAAGTAACCGATTGTGCGCACAGCGAACTGCGTCAATCACAACAGGCTTGCTGCATGTGAAACACAAATCTGTGGGCGCCATAATTTTCGGCCAACGCGGTTGTTTCTTTGCACGTTGAAAGTCTGATGAATCACCAATTACTTCGTTAGTCCTTCGCAATAGCTCTTGATACAGTTCCGAAAATCCGGATGGATTAACCTCTTCAGCACTTCTCAGACGATGTACAAGATGTGCAATTTTAGACGTAGATGGTTTCGTAACGGGGACTTTCAACGTCCGCAACGGCATGGACTCTGTGGGTAGGTTGTAGTCCGCCAGCCAGCGGATGCAAATAGGTATTTGGCCTGTAAATGGATGCACATATCAGAAACGGCTTACTTGTCGGATACGCGTGCTGCTTGTATGCCGTCATTAAATGCACACACGGAAGCCACATGGTTTCATAAAAAGGACAGGTACATGTTCCCAAGGAGCAATCGATGGTGAAGCGGTTTCCCTGGTGCGATATCTCAAACTGGAAGCGTCAGAAATTTTTATTCACATACCACTCCATCTCCAAGGTCCGAGTAAACTGCTTGTAACATGGGTTGTGCTAAATGGCGCATCACTAAGTTGCATGCGTACGTAGTTAAGAGGCAAACTACGCGATGAACATATGCGCTGCCTTCTAGTAGCTGACGCCTGTCACAGAAAAACGCGGCATGCATCTGGGACTCTTTCAGGAGAACTTCCGAATGCGCCCAGACTTTGCGAACGGCTGCAACAAGGCCATCCGATGCATGGGTAACTTTCTTCAATCGCAAGTTGGCATTCTCAACTCGGTTGTTCGTTGTATTGCCAAAATGCACCAGTCCAGCTTGTGCGTGTTTCGCCCACGAGCGTTTTATGTACAACCAGTACAACGTAAGGTAGCGCACAAAGTGGGGGTCTGTTCTTTGAAGGAGCTTCAAATCTTGTTGAAATCTAAAACAAGAATATTACATATATAAAGAGATTTTACTCAGTCTCCGTGTCAGAAGTTGCCATGCGATGAAACAGATAACGCGACCGGTTAATGTTTGTCTACAGAATGTAACGAAGATTTATCACTTACATGCTTCCTGATGGCCTGGCGGATGTGGAAGTAACACAACAAAATGTCGCATTGAAAAACGGCGCGCGCCGCACGTATTTGAGCGGCCATTTTGTCCATCATTATTGTGCGGACGGGAATATCATGACCCATGATATCCCGAAACGCTTCGAACAACGTAAGCAATGATGCGTAATCTTCCCGACGCAGAAACGCATAAAATATTGGCCGGCCGTACCCCATGCCGTCAGTTATTAAAAACTGGTATAGTTTGAAGCTGCAAGCAACAAGTAAGGCCGCTATCAATTCTTACTTCAAACGGTTAGTGCCATGAGTAGCGTCTACACAAACGACATGCGAGAATCGGCGGAAAAGTTCTATTTGTTGATGCCGAGCGAATAATACGTGTGTGCACAAGCCTTCCTCAGAAATAATTCGCGCAACTCCGTCTTCTTCCATAGACTTGATAACCTGATGCAATTTTACTGCAGGAAGTAAAAACTATCAAAATAAGCTTACACTCAACGCCAGGTCTCAGTTTACGACGAACATTGCGGACATCATCGCTGGTAATATGCTTTCCGAATCGAACCTCGACGAACTGCTTGATGTCGCTTGTTGGGGTGTTGTAGCGGAAAAGGTCTACGGACTGAGTGAACTCATCGTCCGTCAGACGGCGATTGATGGGGTGTCGCTCAAAAAGAAGGCGATTAACTGGGTGATTGTGAGACAGATCGAACGTTGTGACTTTCAGCTTGCGTCCCGTTCTAATGAGGTTAACGCGAGCTTGGCAGTTAGTATCACGTGAGCTGAAAGATGTAGAATAATAGAAGCGAAATCCTACTAAACACGTCTCACTCCTGTACTTTTTGACTTCCGCCGAGCGCAGCGGACACATCGATAAATCACCTTGTCGTACTTCACCCGTGACAGGTTACATTTTTGCTGCTGTAGCGTACGAAATTGACGTAATGAAGAAGCATAAAGTCTGAAAACAAACTATTAAACTCGTCAAAACTGTCAAAAGAACGCCCAAAGAAGATTCTCCGGAAATCAGACTCCATGGCGTACGATTTCGAAAATACTGTTTCTACCGCGTATCTGGTTTCCGACACATTCAAACAATTGCAATAACACATTTGCAGAGATTTAAATAAAACTGCAAAGGCAGAAAGATAGCCGGGAATAATGCCATAAAATGACCATAAACTATTTATTGCGCACTAGGTTTTGCGGGGTAACGGTGCGTATCTGACTTCTGACACACTTAAACAAATGCAATATCACATTTGCACAGAATTGAATAAAACTGCAAAGCCACAAAGATAGCCGGGAATCATGCCATAAAATGACACGAAACTATTTATTGCGCACTAGGTTTTGCGGAGTGACGGTGCTGCGACTACGTCGCAGCTTGCGTAGCCAGGAAGAGATACTTCACCGTCTGTGATATCCGGGGACAGCTCAATGCTCTTGGGTGGCAACAGCAAACTTTTCCTTTTTCCTAGCTGACTCACCTTCACTTTTCAGTTTTTTAATGACTCAAATGTCTTGGTATTCCACTTGCTTAGCTCTTTCCACTTTCTCTTGCCTTCTGAGTGCTGCGGATAGCGAGCTCCGTTGCGTTTTGTTCCCGTCTTGAGGATTTATTCTGGGTTTACTAAATAAGGGATACAATATCTGCAAACTTCTTGGGTTGTTGTAAGGCTGTCACTTCTCGCTCAAAGGCTGTTCAATATTCCTTCAGCGAAAAGTGGCTTCACATTGCATGTTGTAACATCGGTCCAGATTTATACGATGTTCTGTAAAAGACCAGTTCCTCAGACGCCATTTTTATTTGTAACTTGTCGGGCTGGGTTGAGTGTCAAGCATGTTTCGGATGGTCTACCTCCAATCAGCCTATGTCCTTCACGCCTGCATTCTGTGCAAAAGGAAAAAGATGATCCGCTGCTTCATATTTTGCAGTTATCTGCTTCTGGCCCGGGTACATTCCCTAGAAATAAAATTTTGTTCATTCAGTTTCATCCCCAGAACTATCGTCCATTGTCCGACAGTACGACGAACGCAAGGAATGGTCTTGTGCAGTGGTAGCTGGCAGCAACCTAACTCCTGTACCCAGGAGTTCAAGGATTCCGCTAAATAATCGGAAGACGAGGGCTTCATAAGCTAGGTCTAATCCGAACTCTTCTCAGCTTCAGTTAAAACAGGTTATCGATAAAGTGAATCAGTTAAAGAATATGAGCAGGGCATATCTTTACCCGCAAACGCCTAGTAGTATACTTCGCCATGTTTGGTCAACTTCATCCGACCAGAGGCGTTATAATCTCGTGATCTTTCAAGCACCGGAGTCTCGTGATCCATCACCCCAAGTGCGCTACGATCACGATGTTAATTTTTACAGGGTCTAATTGACAGTCTCCCTGACGCTGGTGTGGACTTGGTAAAAGTGAGGCAGATTACCCGTCTTGTAAAGCATAGTGATCAACGAAATCGGCCTATGAAAATCACTTTGTGGACGAATCCATTACAAGACTGATCATGCCCCGCCCAAGAAGGCTGAAAGGTTTGAAGATCTACGTTGGCCAGACATGAACCCAGTAGACAGGGAGCGGCTCTACTCTGCCATCACTGAGCTGAAGAGACGCACTGGTGAGAAGGAAACAAATCTTCGTATCGTAAATTTTCGGGTGGTTTCCAACAACCTGGGAATCAGGATAAACTGGCTGCTCGCACTTTAAGCACGCGTGGTGGCTCCTGCTGCGGCCTTCGATTAACCTTCACAAACGTTTGCAGTGTAATGTATAAGCGCCACGAGCTTTGTAGTGTTTTTGCGTCAGAACGGCCAGATGTATTGAAATTCGCAGACGCATGGCTGAATGCAGAGTTGTACACCCAAGCACTTGAACTCAGCGGTTCCTCTTGCTTCCGATGCGATAGACTAAAGAATGCCCTCCGTGGTGTTTACTTTGCATCTGGTCTTCCCTGCGTGGGAGACTTGTGAGCACTTACCGAAGTGACCATGGTCTGTGTGAGCTACTGTGGTGCTCCATCCGCCTCAGTCGCGGAGAACTGCTTGTGGGCGCAGTTTATCGCAGTCCCCTGAGTCGTTGTTTGGATTGGCTGCCATTTCATCGAACCCGCATGAGTCGACCACACTTTCTAATTATGGGCGATTTTAACTGTCCTAGAATACGATGGCCTGATGTGCATTTGATGCCCGGACATAGTGAGGTTGAAGCAAAGTTCGTGGAGTTGGTACTCGAAACTGGTGCATCGCAACACATATGCCAGACAACACGCATAACGACATGTTCAACCCCTTCCTGTCTCGATTTGATGTTAATGCGCTACGAATAAGGGGTGCGTAACGTTAGGATCCTGGAGCCCCTGGCTACCTGCGACCATTTAGTGCTCCTACCTGATATGGTATCATCTTTGCAGTATTCACGTCCGCTGGAATCAGCTCACAACTACTGGAAAACGGACTTCGACGGTCTAGATCGAACCGCGAGCCAACTGGATTGGTCTCTGCCACAAGCTGCATCTGTGGAAGATTGTTGGATATTTATAAACGAGAGATGGACATCACGGTGTTCCAAATTTGTGCCATTTAAATGTCGGTAGGTTGGATCGATTAAGTCTCATTGATTTGATAAGGGGTATGGAAACCTGGTTCGGAGGCGACGCAGACTGTGGGACAAATTCCTCCTCTCTGGCTCTGCCAATGATTACGAAGGGTATAAATGTCAGCGGGACATCTGCTACAGTGCAAAAGAATAAACGCCGACATTCCGAAGAGCATCTCGCAGTAGCCGCGAAGACCGCCCCCAAAAGAATCTTCATACGTGAAGCGACGCGTTGAGCGGGCAGGTGATGTGCCAGTGTTGGATGGACCGGATGCACAGCCTCTACCCTTATGCACTGAGCGTGCGTCCGTGTTGGCGGTGCACTGCGCTTCTGTATTTGCGAATAACCAGTTGTCTTTTCCGAGTTCGACGTGTACCGGTTGTACGGAGCTCGACAATCTGCGATGGGGCGTTGAGGAGGTAGATCAACAACTCGCCAACCTTGACGGCACCAAACCTGCCGGAGCTGATGGGCTTCACCCACTGGTTCTCAAGTCACTTTCGACCATCATCTCTCCTGTCATGACTGACCTCTTCAACAGGTCGCTGTCCGGAGGTTCGTTGTCGGTTGACGGGAAATGTTCGGTGGTGAAGCCTATTCCGAAATGCGGCGACCCTAGCTAAGTAGGCAGCTACAAACCAATTTGTCTGACACCTATCTTGGCAAAGGTTGCTGAGAAAATGGTGAAGAAGGGATTGCTGCAATTGCCGCAGTCAAACAAGGTCCTGAGGCCCGCACATCACGGTTTTATGCAAGGTCGCTCATGCATTACGAACCGGCTTGTGATGAGGCATGAGTGGTCGAAGGCAATAAGCAAGAGGAAGTCGGTCCAGGTGATATTCATCGAGTTCAGTAAAGCTTTCGACAAGGGCAGTCATGAGGTTTTTCCTTCACAACCTCAGGATGCGTGGTGTCGGTGGCTTACTGCACCAGCGGATCCGCGACTTTCTTGTTGGACGAAAGTCAAGAATACAAGTGGACGACCATCTAGCTGATTGGTAGCTCTCTACAATTGTCATGCCTCAAGGCACTGTGCTGGGGCCCACTCTGTTTCTGATCCACATCAACGATCTACCGCGGCTTGTCCGGTTGTTGTGTGCATTGTTTGGGGACGATCTGAAGATTTGGAGAGAAATGGATGCGCATGACGTCTGTGGCCTACTTCAGCAAGACCTCAACCACACATCCACATGGCCTGCAGAAGTACTTCCTCAGATCAACCCAACCAAGTCTGTATTTATGAGCTTGGGGAAGGGTGCCGACGGCCGAACGTGCACCCTTAACAGCCAGCCGCTATGTCCAACACTCTCCGTGAAAGACCTAGGTGTACTTTCACGCTACGATTTAAAGTCCAAGGACAACACGAACAGGCTACATCTTAACGGACTGCGCATGCTTTGGGGGTCCAAACGTAGCTTCTGCACATGGTCTGAAGAGGTTGCCACTCGCCTGTTCTCTTCTATCGTTAGACCAATGCTAGAGTACGGTTCGCCCGCCTACTTTCCGATTATCCGAGGCGAGGCACAAAAGATCCAACGGGTCCAACACGTTGCTACAAGGCTCATCCCGAGTTTACGCGGCTTCGGGTATGAAGACCGGTGCAAGAAACTAGGACTCTACACCTTGCCCTACGGTCGGATATGAGTCGACCTCATTTTGACCTATTGT